TGTATTGGCGATAGGGTCGTGTAGTACGCTTTTAGCATGCGTGGTGTTGAAAAAAGGAAGGCTGGTCCATGCACATTGTTTGTATTAGCAGTAGGGTCGTGCAGTACGTTTTTAGCATGCGCGGTGTTGAAAGAAGGGAGAGAAATGACAGGACGGCACCATGTGGTCCGGACACATTGATTGTATTAGCTAGCACAATTATCTCAAATAATATTTCGCTTGCATCATAAACACATTTTTTAACCCACCTTTTTATATTTTCAATTACCTTTATATCTCACATACATCACATCACAAAAAGTGCTACAGTAATTATTCCAAATAATATTTCAAATAATACTCTATCCAAACAAACCTATTTCTTGGCTTCACCAAACCCACGTACTCAGTATTTTTTTTCCTTGGTTTGCTATTAGACTGCACCAAATTACGATATTAGTCTAAATTTTTTCGTTCAACTAAACCCCTATCCAATCATACTTTTATTCAAAGTAAAATGACATTTTTCCTCCTTGCGGATCATTCATATTTTTTTCCCTTGGTTTGCTATTAGACTGCCTCAAATAAATAAATATTTCTTATTTTAACGAATGTGTCACAGGCTTTATGATTGTATTGCAATTGATATAAATTTTTCCTCAACCTCATTTGTTTACGCTCAATTGCTCTACAAATCTCCCACTTTAATATCAAACTTGTCCTAATACTTTGGATGTCCCCTTCTGTTTGCTAGTGCACCAAACTGATTTGTGACTCTATTCATGCACAACATTAATTTGAACTAGCATTATTTTGCCTGTGCCTTGGCATGGTTTATTTTTTTAAAATTTATTATGAATTCGTGCAAGCATGAATAATTTAAATAAAAAATTAATGATGATCTTACAAGTTCATTCATGTTAATTTTATAAAATTAATGTAATAATTATACTTAACTGTCATACTAAATTTTAAAAACTTCATTAGATACTTTTATTATAATATAATAATATTCATCAAATATTATTACGCATATCAAAAAATCAATAGATATTCTACCCTTTTGTGTATGGATATTTTTTTAGATGATTACAATTTTTATAATAACCATAAACATAGTTACATATTCCTACTCAATTAAGTACAAAAAAATTTAGCAATTTATTTATGCATCGACAAATATTCAATTTCCAGCAATATTGATAAATCTATCAATTAATAGTTAAAGTTTTTTAACACTAAGTTAGTCCATATGGAAAAAAAAAAATTATACAAATTTATCTTATTGTTAGAAGAGAGAAGAACCATAAGAATAAATAATTCAAATTTATCTAAAAAGATAAATTTGTTAGGACGAGAAAAACTATAAGAAAAACTAATTATAAAAGAATCGAATACAAAACTAGGTAAAACTCAAGTATCCAAATAACCGGTTAATTCCCCATCAATTTCCACTCATTTTCAATTTCCACCTTTTGAAGTCTTCTTTCGAGAATCTTCTATTATCATAACTCCATTTAAGTTAAACTTGTGATCATATCATAGGCAAATAATTCAATTGTAAAAATTGAAATCCACAAGTACGCGCTCATTTCCCCCTTCCTAAAACATCCAAATTCAGTCAAAGTTTATAATTATATTGTGAACTAAAGGTCGATTTCACTTCTAACTCTAGTTGATTGTATATTGTACTCTAAAAAAAAGGAATAATAATAAAGAAACTCCTCAAACTTTCACCACTTAAATTTTGTATATTTTACATAAACAAGACATTTTGACACAAAATGTCTGAAGTTTTTAAGTGCAAGGAAACTTGTGGAACTCCGAGTGACTATATTGGCAATTTCACAAGCGTAAATGTTAAGAAAGCACTCAATCACTACATGCCAAACCTGATTACTAACTCCACTCCATGTTTTTTATAAGTGAACCAGCGGTCATTTTTTCAGTTTTTCCCCTACAAAATAACTACTTTAGTCTATTTCCCAAGGACTAATGACTGAGGTAATTAATGTTGCAAAGTCACCAGCTATGGCTGTTATTTCCTTTTCTCTTTTACATTTTGATCGTTGACCTTTTTTTTTGGTGGGTGCTGGGGTTGGGGGGCGTGGTTTGTGTTGTTTGTTGGGGGGGGGGGGGGGGGGTTGGGGGAGGAGCTATTTGGGTCAAACCACAACTCCGACAAACCATTCAGATATTTTCCACAATGGCCCCAGCCAGCCTTCAATCAGAAAAAAATGAAATACCCAGCCAGCTTTGTTTGGATAGAGTATTATTTTAAATAATTATTTGAAATAATTACTAATTTTTTTTATGATTTAATGTATATAAGATAAATAGGTGATTGGGAATATAAAAATATAGATTGAAAAATGTGTTTATGATGCAAGCGAAAAAATTTTTTGAAAAAATTTACTATCCAAACATAAATAACTAGGAAAAGTGTAGAACTGTCAGGCACTAGTGTCAAAAACTAGACAAATATTTTTGTGGGCGCCCTCTTATGATATAATTTTAGGGATAATTGCAGAAACCTCCCTAAGGTTTTTGATATTAGCATTCACCTCCCTTATAGTTTAGAAAATAGCACTTACCACCCTTGAACTTAAGGTTTGTGTTGCAAATTCAGTCCATGGCAAAAAAGTTACCATTAAAATTTTTTTTTTAAGGAGTGATATGAGAAATTTATACCAGATTTGTCTTTCATGCTGCTTTCCAAGTTATATTAATAGAGGAATGACAAAATATGAAAAACTATTAAGAATTAACAAAATTCAAGGGGTGTAAGTGCAATTGAATAAATTTTACCAACAATACATGAAGCAACGGTGTATACTAATGGTTAGTTAAAATGATTATATATCCAGGTTCTTGCAGCAAAGTTTATAAAGAATACACATCACTTTTAAAATTCTCTATTAGTAATATGAATAGCTATTTCTGGGAGTAACACACCTGCTTATGTTGTCAGCACCAATCATATACAAAAAATATATATATATCACTGAATAATCAACTAATTAACAGCATACTTAAGCATCACTAAAAGTTATTGAGCATGAGATAAGTCTAGTTACAAGTAATTAGAAGTGCATACTAATAAGATGAAGTCGGTTTTAGTAAATGAAAATTGCAGAAGTGCATTAGAACCACGTACTAAAACTGCTGCTGCTGCTGATATTTCCAGATTATAGGATTATAATTGTGTTAATGGAAAGAGATGTAGCAACTTAAGAAGTAGTAATAGGTTGAACTAGAGGAGGTATGGAAATAGAAATGACTTGAGCAGATATATTTGTGCAAGTTCTCTTTATACTTACTTTAGTAGTAGCTCTAGAATTGCTTACTGGCTTTCCTCTCTGCAGTTGTATAGAATTAAACTTAAATTGACTGGTTTGAATAGCATAATATAGAAACATTTATGCCATTTTCTCCCCTCAATTGGCACCATTCCTTAGGTTCGCTTACAATGGCTAATGATGCTAAAAACTCACAAGGAATTTAGTTTAATTAGTCACTCAATTTGTTGACAAAAAATAATTTTCTTTTCTAAAATCCTTTCATTAAGTGTCTGCAATTAGTTAGGGTATAAAAGTAAAATCATACAATTTATTGTTAGTAATAGGTCGAATTCCTCCTCGGGGGAGGTTAGTGCAATTTTAGAAATCATAGAGAAGGTGAATGCTAGTGTCAAAAACCTCAAAGGAGGTTTATGCAATTATCCATAATTTTAAGTAACAAGATGAAATGACCAAGAACAATAGGTGGTGAGTATTTTTTAATCTTTCCATTGCACTTTAATGTGAATTGGGCATTTAATTTAATTTATCACTATGCTTTTGTCTCGGTATTGTTAGAACTTATTAGCAGCTTCTTTCTCATTTTAGGAAAACATGTAGAAATGGTCCCAGAATTTTAAAGTAAATTGTAACTTATAGTAGTATAAAATATACCTTTTTAGTAACTTATAGCATATTAAAGTAAATTGTAACTTATAGCATTTGTAACTTATACATTTTTAGTCTCCCACAATTTTAAAGTAAATTGTTTTGGTTTTTAACATATAGACCAGTTTGCCCGTAAATTATCCTTTGCTATTTGTGAAAATGTCATCCTATCACAGTCTATTTATTATTAGTAATTTAAGTGAATAAAAGAGTACATACATAACTTTCTGCATTTTTCCACATTTTTTTTTCAACATTTTCACCAATACCATAAGCTTCTTCACTCATCCTACATACATATGGCACCAATTCCAACTTTATACTCTGCGTTCCAACATTATAGACTGCATAAATGGCAATGCAGGTCATTATTACTAGTGATGTCTGTGTTAATGTTGAACTAAAGTTTATAATCTTTAGTGATTTTGTCTAAGCAAGTTCAAGATGCCTTGTATCTGTGACTAGAACAGTATGCAATGTCCCAAGAACCACCACATTTGACAAGTGATGTCGATTTTTTGAGTAAAAGATTAAGACATACTAAAAAGTTTAAGTGAGATAAGTCATAGTTCTAATCTATGCTAAAAAGTGTGCTAGATTACCAGCTAAACCAAGACATACTTAAACAAAAATAAATGGTTTGCAAGCTTTTATAGCTTATCATGTTTGGAAGAAAATAATGCATGTATAGTAATCTTCCAAGAAATTTCTAAGTACTTGCGTTATCCGGTGTCATACTAATGAAGACAACATTATTTGATACTAATATCAACAAATACACCGGGGCTGATTTAGACCCAAAAAAAAAAGGGTAGAAATTACAGTTAATGAAGAGAATGGTTTTGAAATTTTTTCCAAGTAGTTCGTCAGTTGTTGTAATTTTTTTCAAATTACGTTGATGGATAGCATAGCTCCCATTATGGAAATTGTATATTCCAACTATGGTTCTATTCCATTTTAACTCAACCCGTGCTATACATCCATTATATGCATAATATGTATAGCATAACTCTCATAATGTTTGGACCATCATCCTTTCCTTGCTCTGCTGCATGATTCTCGTAGAGGAAATTCTGCACAACGTATAGCCATATAATTTAGATAGTATTAAATTACAGGATGATAGAAAAACCTTTAGTCTTTCTTATTAATGTCTGCTCCAGACTCTACGTGAATGTGTGTACTTTGAATTATCTATCTAAATGCTTCTAAGTGATATATGTACAAAGACACTGATGAATATTTTTCCTGTCATCTGTTTCATCTAAAACTCTTTGTTAAGTAGCTGACACATGTATCTCAGCGCGATGCGTGATCATAGTCATGAAAATGGAAGTTTTTGTAAACAAAGTGGGATAACCACTTGGAAACCAAAAAGCTGATAATAGCCACTGAGACCAGAGTGCTTCTTGCTGCTGCGGATAGTGCACCCTGTTTTGCAGCAGCAACAATTCCAATTGAAGCAAGAGAGAAGACTTGCAACACAATCTCTAGTACATTGAGCCCTTTATATGCTAGATTGCAACTACAGGTAGATATTATAGAAAAGAAATAATTAAGAAACAATGACTAACTTCAATATTAACAATCAATTACCTCTGTGGTTCCAGCTGGTGAAGCAGATATATTATCTGGATTGCCTCCTAATGACCCGGAGGAATAAAAAACACAAGGTGGAATAAATATGTTATCTGAAATTGTCGATGATTTTGCAGTGAAACCCTTTTTGTCTAATGTCTTTACCCTTATCTCAAGTGGTCTGCCTCCTTCCCTGTCAACCTTAACAGTGCAGGAAAATGCAGAAAAGAAACTATTAGTAATTTGGAACCCAAAAAAAAGGTTAGGAACAGCAAACATTCTCAAATTATAAGGTAAAGGCTCTTATCTCTTTGAGCGCTGTGGGGCTCTCATTATGCCATAATGTGCATACGGAACATGAGAAGGGTCCATAAGATTTTCAATCAGAACCTCGTACCTGTAAATGCTTGGCTATCAGAAGCAACTTAAGAATAAAACAAACATTATTTGACATAACTTTTCAACCACTTTTTCTGTTTTTCTTATTACACTTCATAACATGAAACAAGAACCAAAACCTTTTAGTTTTATCATCTTTTGAGTTTTACCTATTTCTCTTTATTGATTTTTCCCGCATTTTTCTCACCCTTCTTGAAGGAAGCTAATGAATTTCTTTCTTTTTCCTTTGCATTTCCCAGAGCATGTATTGAATACCGACACAAGTAACAGTGAAAGCAATTTAGTTTAGCATTCCATAGAGATAGCAGCCTTTTCAATATGATTAGAGTTCAGATGAAGATTTGCCTAGTATGAGCGTGGAACAACAACCACCACAAAAGCTATAATAAAGGGGGCAACTAATTGCTTACCCATATTGTATATCTCTAGTGATCATCTGACTGGTAAAGGATGGATCATCAATTTCCGGGATGTATGGAGGCTTTTCCTTCGAAAATATGTCTTTGTACTGGCTATCAGCATTAAGCCAAAACCAAAGAATGCCATTTTGCACACAACTTGGATATGCAGCTACACATGCTTTGCTAGAAGTATGGATCTGAACTTCCAAGCAAAGTGTCAATCCATCATGCTTTGGTTTAGGTACATTGGAAATGGCAAGGTTTGCATGTTTAGACATGATGTATCTGCTATGTACAACAAAGTAAGCAAATGCATTTCCATAGCATCAAGTATCAGAATGAAGCTCCAAACTGTCATACTTAAACAGTAGAAAGCTATTGGCAATATTCAAAATTTCTAAATTTAGTATTGCATAAAAGATGTTCACAACAACTGGAAACAATATTCATTGAATAACTGTCCGACATAGAGGTAATTCAAGTTTTGAACCAAGCCAAGCTTGATTGGTAGATAAAGAAAAATCGCTTATCAGAATATTATGCATCTTCTCATAGAGCCTTGGTGGAGAATTAATTGAAAAGAAAAATGGAAAAAGAGAAGTGGCAAAATTTTTTGTAGATTTCAAGTTCATAATGGCTGATGAACACTTAAAGTTCTTTTTACTCTTTAAACGAGGAGATTTTGAGTACGAAAAGGTAAAAACAAGCGAAAATGTCGTACTGGAATAACCAGACAGTAGGAAGACTACTAAAACCTGAAAATTTTCAGTGAGTTTGGTCAAATGAGTTCTGCTTCTTTCCCCCAGCTATTCTTGATTCCCTATCTACAAAGGGCCTCGACTTCAGAGTAGATATGTATGTATGTGAAAGCTTACAAGTGTCTTAGATGTGGAAGTTATTAAATATTTTAAATTGGATTCCATCATCTAATCCTAAGGTATAAAAGACACTATGGCCATTCTATCATAAAGATCAAGCCTACATCAAATAAAAATTTCACCAATCCAATTTCACTGAATTCTCATCCACTTCCTCTGCTAGATTCAGATTTGTAGCTCATGGTTTGCATATAAAGTTTCTGGGTAATTTCTGGTGGAGGAATCCGAAATTCATATGACTAATTGTCAGTTAAAATTGAATATCCCCATTCAATGATCCAGGCCTTAAATGCCACCAATAAGTTATCGTTGTATCTGAATAAGATACAAATAACTTATTGCAATGGCTAGGTAAAGTGTGCATTATACTTGAGAAGTTTCCATCATATCTAGACTGTTTTGCCTGCTTCAGTGCTAGTGATGAATATCTGCCTATGTACAAATTCAAAGTCAATCTAGTGCTATTCAAATAGGCATATAAAACTTTGGAGCTTTCTTCCAAACTTGATTACATATCTCAAAAAATTGGCTTTCCACAGCTAGTCTGCTATTGATAACGGTCCTACCTTCACTATTGTCATTTATGTGCTATAATAGCTTTAATCTTTCAGCTACTACATTCTTCAAGAGAGGAGCAAATTATTTAGGTGGCCACCAAACTTTTGGAATCGTCGAGTTTTGATAATTGAACTATTAAAGGTCTGGTTTTGGCCATTGAACTATCTCAAGTTTAGATTTTAGGTCATTCCGTTAGATTTCATCATTAAATATGACAGATATGAGTGGTCGCAAGATTCATGAGAAAAAAGAAAAGGGCATAGTTACTATTAAATCCAACGGAATGGCACGCAATCTAAACTTTAGATAGTTCAATGGCTAAAATCAGACTTTTAATAGTTCAGTGATTAAAATCCGATGATTCCAAAAGTTCATTGGCTATTCGGATAATTTGCTGTCAAGAAAGTTACTAAAAATTTAGATATAACAGAGGATAAGGCAAAAAGAAAGCATGTGACTTGCACAGTGATTAAACAAATATGAATGTAGCAAACAGCAACAATGACACTGACTGAAAATCAATGCATCGAAAAGGAGAACTAGCGGATAGGAAAGACGCATACTTCACATAATTCACAATCATGAAAATGAACTTTTGTTAGCAATTTCAATTACCGGAGGACCATCTCGGGGTGCTTGAGGAATGAACTTGCAATCGCCAGATCCACCAAAGCACCAACCATGATAAACACACTGCAACCTGCCCCACTGATCAATCCTTCCTTCAGACAAAGGAGCCAACCTATGAGGACAAGTATCATCAAACACCTTCCAATCATTCTCATTCCTATCCCACCACACAACAATATCAATTCCCATCACTTTCTTCCCAAGTGGCCTCCTTTTGTCAAGATCACAAACAGGCATCACAGGATACCATTGTGCGTACCAATCAAATTTCTCATCTTTTTCTGAAGTCTCAGTTTCTTGACCAAACGAAGCGTCTTTGAATGATTGATCAGCCGCTGGCACAGTATCCGTGGAAGAGATGGCCGTGGAAAGCTCGAATTTTGCTTTCTTGAACTGATATGAAGGGAGATGTAAATTGGTGGGTTGTTGATAGCTAAACGGATAATGCAAGATTGGATTTTTAATCTTTCTTCCAAAGGGTCTTCTTGTGATCAAATTAAGGTGCGATGATGATAATGAAAGGGAAGTAGCAGTCAAAGTTCCCATTGCAGCTTCTTTAATGGCAGTAGTTTGTCAGTGTCCTGACTCCCGCAGGTTTCAAACAGAGGTTATCTTCATGGATTTGATGGATGCATATACAGCTGATAGACCGACCCTGAGTGAGTGTTGTGTGTGGGCGCAAAACTTTGTGGATGAGGCGCATCTTCCCCATCATTGAAACTGTTAATTTTGGATGCATCAGCCCTCCAAGCTGTAAAAAGCTGAAAGGGGGGGGGGGGGGGGAATTTTCAAGACCTTGGCCAAATTATAATTTATTTGACGGACTGCAAGACTTAAAAAGCATGTGAAAAATGTATTTGGCCAATTTGGAGAACAAATGTTTTAGTTTCTAACAACAAAGTAAAATCCAATTGGAAAGTCTATGTGGAAAAGTTTTAGGGATAATTTCAGAAACCTCCCCCTGAGGTTTCTAACAATTTTATTGAATTCCTCTAAGATTTAAAAAATTACACTTACCTCCCTTGATTTGATAATTTTAGTAACAAAATATTAAAATAATATTGACTTGGACAATAATTTAAATGAATACCCAAAAATGCCCTTGTGAAATGAGTTTTAATTTATTTGTCTATACAATTATAAGATTATTTAGTATAATTATAAGGAAAAATGTGCCAAATATTTCATGTCCATATCTACTATTTGATAAACAACTGTAATAATAAATTTATTACTATGATATGATATTTTTTATGGTAATTTTTAATGAATTTAGATTTATAAGATAGAAAAGAAAATATTGAAATAATTCATTTAGAGTTTATAAATTTTTAAAGTAGTAGGATTATCATAATTTAGTAGAGCTTTTGTACCATTTCTTTTTAATTTTAATACCAAAAGATAGAAAAAAAAATCAGCAAAAATATTGGATTACATATAAAATTAACTCATAAAAAAAATTACTAGTTCGACATTTGGTTATAATAGAAACCTAGAGACAACAGTGGAAGTTCTAAAATTTTATTGGTGAAAAATTTAAAAAAAAAGGAATAAGAAGGAAAAAGAATGAAAAAATAATTTTAAAACTTATTCTAAGTATAAGCATACCAAATAGAGAATTCCATTAAAATATTTAAGGGTAAAATTATCATTTTAAATGATAATGGAGGTATGTGTAATTTTTAAATTTTAGGGGAGCTCGGTGAAATTATCAGAAACCTCAGGAGAGGTTTCTGAAATTATCCCAAAGTTTTATGTACTAATCATATTGTCCTGGAATACTACTTTAGAAGTTTCTAAGTTCAAATTATCTTTGCCAAATTGATCAAGCACAGCGGTTGCCTCAATTCTGTTGGAGGGAAGTACTTGTAATTAACTGGTACTTCAATTTAGCAGGAAGATTAGCGCAGAAACTTCAAGAAAAACGGTTACTATGTCTTTGTCCAACTCTTGCCTTCAGCTTAAAGGTATGGTCTTCTTGTCTTGTAAGTTGTGTGACAGGGGAGGCTTCATCTCATTTCATGCTTGAAATTTTTTTGAAGCCAGGTCCAACTTTTGGCTTCAACTGTGCCACGTAACATGAATACTTGCCGAAGATTGGGAGCTGGGGCCATTCTGTTACAACTAGGGCTGCAAACGATTCGAGTCGCTCGCGAGCCGCTCGAGTCAAAGCTCGAGTCGAGTTCGGTCAAAGTCGAACTCGAGTCGAGCTCGAGCGGCTCGTTTATAAATCGAGTCGAACTCGAGCCATCGTCTATTAGGCTCGTTAGCTCGTCGAGCCGCTCGACGAGCTTTGTGAAATTATAAAAATACCCTTATTTATATGGTTAATTACTAAGTTATAACATGGGAATTGGGATGGAATTCGATTTCTTATAACATAGCAAAAATTACTTTCCCCAATTCCATTTCTTATTACTTCTCTACCACATCTCTGTTTGGTCTTTCCTTCTTTCTTTCACACCTTCTCAAGCCCTAGCCATCGCCGCCACCACCTACGAGTGCACCGCGCTGACCACAGCCACCACCGCGACACCGCCACTGCTACCGTTCAGGCCTCATTCGACTGCAATTCGACTTCATTCGAGAGAAACCTTCTTCCTCTCGAAGCAATTCGACTGCAACTCGCCTTCGTCGTTGGCTCAGCTGTATTCGGACAGAGGCTTGACTTCCCTCACGGTGCGTCTTAAGGACTGCTAACCATCTGTCTTCCTCCACGGCGCATCTTAAAGCCCTCAATTTGATTTCCAATTTAAGGTTGGTTCGGGCCGTTGGGTATTCCTTCCCCAATTTAAGGTTCGCGCAGCTTTTAGGATTTTTGACCCAAACTCCGTTTACTCTTTCCAGTGATTTTTTGCTGTCCTTTGGAATACAATAGTACAAAGTGCAAATTTTTGTCCTGATTCCCTTGTTGCATTTCCGATAATTGTAAACTGCTCTCCGTCTTTTTTTATTTTGGACGTATCCATGCACGGATTTGAAAGAGGATCCAGAACAAATACTGAAATGAAAAAAAAAATGAAATTTTCTGGCTTGAATTTGTAATGATTGAGACCAATTAGGGCATAAAATGGTTTAGACGCACCCCAGATTCCAATTTTCCATTCATGTCATGCATTTTTACCTTAACCATCAGTTCTTTCATTTCTGAAATTGTATGAATCATGCATGCAGATGTTAGGAAAGTTAACCAAGTGATGTCAAAGAAGGCTGCAATATACGGCAATTATGAAAATAGAAGTCGTTGTTGTGATTCTAAAAGTTACAGACCGCTCTCCACTACTTTTTTTTTTTTTTAATATTATCATTTTCCTATCTCCACTGCTGATTTGTAAATACTAGTGCAATTTTTAAAAAAAAAATTTTTTTTAATCGATGTTACTAACGTTGGAGGGAGTGTTATATACATTATCTAGCTACAATATGAATCTGATATGACTTGATCGAGCCCATAATTTTTTTTTCTCTCTCTCAAAAACTCTGATTCCAATATGTCTTTTCTAGTTGCGCATCTATTTTTAGATTATGAAAAATAACATGCATCTCATTTTTAATATTCCCACGTCTATCCCATTAAATATTTCTATAGGCAAAGTCTATAGTTTATAACTGCTGGTATATGGGGGCTATAATTCCATAGCTCAATGAAAGTGTAATTTAGTATATGATACGTAGATTTGGTTTTTATATGTTTACTCTGATGGTGGCCTCTTTTTGTGTAAATCATACCACATTTTTTATTCTTGCATGTTTCTGATCTCATGTGCTCTACACTTAGCCTCCTCATCTCTTTTGAGGCTCAATGTCTACTGTCTAGTCACCTGCTAGAGAGAACTTGGGTAATATTCTGCGGCGCTTAACTTTTATTTGTATAGCCGGTTTGAGCAGAAAAGTGAGACCACATTTGCTTGATTCAATAGTACAGATTAAGGCTTTGGCATGTATATAATGTATGCAATATTTTTCACTTGAGCTCACAATGTATCTGATTTATATGCCGAGTATGTGGAGATGCATGTTTCAAGTTCAAGAGATTCTGGAGGAAGCTCTCAAGTAGTGGCAAATGAACCAGGTAGCAAGAGTAGCAATAGTTCATCCTCTACAATGACACATGTTACTGGAATGTGTGAATTTCTATCTCACATTGCTACTGTGGAACCCGTTCAACCGGAGAAAAATGAGCTAGATATCTACTTTGAAGATGGCCTTCTCAGTGCTATGGAGAAGTCTAGCTTGGATATTGTCAACTTAGATGCTTTGAAATGGTGGAAAAGCACAACAAAATACAAGATTTTGCCTAAGATGGCTGCGGATATTTTAGCCATTCCTGTTAGCACCGTAGCTTCGGAAGCGACATTTAGTGCTGGAACTAGAGTGCTTGACTCCTACCGTGCTTCTTTAGCTCCAGAAACTGTAGAGATGTTGATGTGTGTTGGGGATTGGTGTCGTAGGCTACACGGAGTGAAGAAAAGGGATAAGGTAATTATGTTACAAATTACGTTTTTCATCTATTACAATATGTTTTATAGTTGGCTTAATCTTGGTCTTTATTATTTTTTTTTACTTTGCAGAAAATGAAGTCAGCGCAAGAGATTTCATTGCCTATTCCTTGAACTTTTTCATGTTTTAGGTAATCTATATTCTCAGTTTTTTGGCTGCTGGTTTCTTTATATATGTATATGATTTATTTGGTGGCTGGTTTCATTGCAACTGAAATGGAAGTTATTTGCCTGATTTTCTTAGCTGTGCAACAGTTGCAGCTTATTGGTGCATTATTGGCTGTAGGTGCGTTTTTTCACCTATATTTTCAGTACCAAGATTGTAAGCTTCCAGTTTGTGCTGCTTGTCAAATTTTCTTTTGAGTTCTATACGTGTCTGGCTTAGTTGAGTATTTGCAGAAGCATGCAATTAGAAGTAAAAGCAAAATTTTCTCAGCATGCAATTAGTTGAGTTTGTGCTGATCAAATTAAAACAGATCAACAACAACCAGCTTGGTTCAGTTTGGTGACTAGTGTTTTAGAATACAAGTTACATGATTAGCACACAAAGTCCTGCAGCAACCACATTTAACTGCTCTAAGGTAAATGAATCATTGCAGAATAAGCCTGGGTAATCTCTGCATCTGCTATGACTAGATTAGTACTAACATTACTGAAAGTGTTCCAGAATCGCATTGCATCTCCAAACATTGATTGATCTCCAAAAACGTCATTAGCACACAGCTCAGAACATGACAGATATATATATTAACTAATCAAGGATCTTGACTAGACTATCATAAGGTAAAAGACAGCACACTAGAGAATCTATAGCAGAATATTGAATCTGCAGTTCATGTGAAGAATGAAATGGCAAGAATATTACAAGTAAACCCTCAACTTATTGCTGTTTATATCCTTGTTAGGATAGAAATGGTGTTATTGTATAGCTCCTTGATTGGCACTTATTTATTTTTGGACGTATTGAGCAGGTTGGAGCTGGGACTATGAATCCTCTGACATTTCTAAGAAGAGAAGAAGTTCGTGACTTCAATGACTGTGCTTAGTTTGTAATTTGTAATTCAATAAGTTTCTAAATTTATGATTGTATTTAGTGAAAAATTTGTAGGCCTTTTTTTATTATGATAATGTGAAAAATTATGGTCAATTATAGGCATGAATTGTAAGCTATGATTATGCTCATAATTTGGTTAGGAATTAGTTAATAAAATGATTTTTTTTGTTACATTAATTCCCAAAATTCGAGCTAACGAGCCGTTAACGAGTCAAAAATTCGAGCTCACAAATCGAGCTGCTCGCGAGCCAGAAATCGAGCATTAACTCGCGAGCCTTAACGAGTCGAGCTCGAGCTTAGCTTTTTTTAGTCGAGTCGAGCTCGAGCTCAATTCTTATAGGCTCGTCGAGCTCGAGCTCGAACTCGAGCTCACCCATTTTTAAGTCGAGCTTGGCTCGATAAGTCCAAAACTCGACTCGACTCGACTCGTTTGCAGCCCTAGTTACAACAATCAAAGTCCAGATTACTCTTTGGGATAATATCAGAAACTTCCCCTTCTTAGGTTTCTCCTAATGTAACTTAGTGCCTCTTATGTTTTAAAAATATCACTTATCTCCCCTAACAAAATGACTATGTTAATTCTCGCTTGATACATAATTCACATGTCTAATGAATGGAGCTCAAAAAAATAAAAATAAAAAAAAGAAAGAAAAGTCACTTTCTTCTATTTCCCCTTTTTCCAACACTCTCTCTTACTTTTTTTTTTTGGATGATTATGCAATTTTTTATTCATAAATTATAGTAAATTAAATTTTGCTTATCTTTTTCTTTTCATGATTGCGATAGAGTGGCAGTATGATTTTTTTTTTTTGTTTATTTTGAATTGATCTTTATAATGATTTAGTACAACTCAAAGGCTTGGGAAGAGGTTAAAGAAAAAATAAGATTCATAAGAAATCAATTTTGACAGTTGAGAAGAGGTTAAAGAAAAAATAAGATTCATAAGAAATCAATTTTGAGTATATAGAGTTGAATTGATGCTAGCGTATTTATTTACAAACATCCTTTTCATATTTAAAATTTATATTTTTATAGACTATTTATTACTTTGTGATGTGGTTGAACAACTAGAAATTGCTTTTTAGGTGATGATTTTTTTGAAGCAAAGAAAGTGCCTTAGAAGCATTTCCATTTAGCAAAATGGGTAGTTTAGGGTTTTTAAAAATTTTGTTAGTTTTTTTTTATCACAACGATAACAGTTATATAACCTATTATAACCTAGTCTAAAGGGAGGGAGAGTGAACGGGAAACCCCGTCGAAAGAAGCCACCTGAAGGTGGCAGCCACAATTAAGTGGCAACCCTTGCCTCCCACTTTCCCAAGACTTTAAAGTCTTGGGGTTACCGCAATTAAGTGGCTTTTAAAAAATTTGTTACACAAATAACAAAAGTAAAGGAGATAAATGATGTTTTTAAAATCTTATGAGTGCTAAATGATATAAAGATAAACCTCATGGGAGGGTTTTGATATTATCCCTTACTCTTTTATTCACATAAATGCATTTAATTTTGTGATTAATCTACCTATATTACCATAGTTTTTTATTAACAATTAGTAGTAGAGTCATGTTAAGACCACAGACATTGTAACCTACAAACTTATAGTTACCTATCATAACAAGTTTTGCAATATTACAAAAGGCTCGTTTAAAAATGCTAATTTATCCATAAACCGAACATTACTTTATCTTCTGAATTCCTTTCTTCTCTAGCTCCACTCCTCTTTTCCTCTGGTGTCTTTATCTTGTTGGTCTTTCTCCTCTTTTCCCCCTTAACCATCCTAACATCTTTACAATTAATTTTCTACTAAGTTGTAACATATTTTGGTAAGACATAGGAGCAGCTAGAGGACTTGCTTTCTTGCACACAACTGAAAAGCAAGTCATCTACCAGGATTTTAAAGCCTCTAATATCTTGCTGGATTCGGTAATTATCTGTGACGATTGGAAAATTAGCTCATATTTTCTTAAAATTCCCTCTTATTTTGATTAAATTACTTTATAATATCTTTCCTACTCATTTACTCCCTCAATAGTTGTAATAAAGAATAGAATTAAGAATTTTGCCCTTAGTCTTATAGTTAGGGTAAAATAGGATTTTTGTGTATTTTGATAGTGTGATTAATTGTGGAGGTGTGTGTACTAAATTTGGTGGTTAAGAGTGAGTTTTAGATAAGAGGAAGTGTGTGATTAAAAGTGCTAATAATAAGTTAGTGAACCATAAGTAAAAACACAAGTATGCGCGAGTTAAGGAAAATTGGCATGAACCGCCGTGCACCGTTTGCTATCGATTGAATACACCACTTGAATATTACTTTATTACCTTAATCTCCTTGCTTTTATTTCAGCTAATCACCCCCAAAATATCCTCTAAAGTGGCCGAAAATATTGACCAAAAGAAAGGGAAAAAAAGGAAAAAAAAAAGAGTTAATCTTGTTGTGACAAGTGGCGATAATCCAAGAGGTATTTGACTAAGCTATTTTTCTACCTTCTTATCTTTCATTTGAGCTAAATTTCCTTCATTCTTTCTTGCTTGGTGGCTGAAACTAGGAGAGGAAAAAGAGAGGAGAGAAACCTTCCATTTCGACCTTGATTCTTCCTTGTTGAGTTGAAATCACACAAACCAAACCGATTAAACTTACCTCTTGATGCTTAGGAAGGTAAGAGTGGTGGAAATCCTGAGGGAAAGTGCTTGGTTCTTCACTCAGCAACAAGTATTAGAAAGTATAAGGCTAAAACTTCCTTTTCTCTTGCTTAATCTTGCTAAGTCTGGTATAAAGTGGTAAGTGATTTTTTTAGAATCTTAGGAGCGCTAAATGATATTAAGATAAACCTCATGGGCGGTTTCTAATATTATCCCTTACTCTTTTATTCACATAAATGCATTTAATTTTGTGATTAATCTACCTATATTACCGTAGTTTTTTTATTAACATTTAGTAATAGAGTCATGTTTAGACGACTTGCTCTTTTGGTTTGATGCCAAACCAACACTCCTCTCAGATTGGGGTGAGGGCCCCCAAAACTCTCTTGAACTGGTGCACGTGGCACTTGGGCTAGTGCTCTTAGCACACTTAAACTCACTTAAGCCTACTATATTTATAACTACCACAATGAGAGTTTTCTTTATTAAACTCCCGATGTGGGATACAAAGACACACCCAACAAATCTCCACCTTGGCGTGTATCCAACATCAGCAAATAATAGACGAATAGCAAACAAGCTCCACCTTCTCCATAAAAATCCCAACGAATCTCAACGAACCACAAAAGTTCCAACGAACCACAACGAGCTACCAACGAATCAGAATGCCAAAGGCTCAATAGGTCCCAACGGGCCAAATCTCATAGAAGGTTCAATAGATCCCAACGGGTTAAAAACCACGAACATAGTAATCTTGCTCCACCATCTTCTCCAAACCCTTGACGAGTTCCAACGGGTCAAATAACTCTTCTTCAACACCCAACAGAACTCCAACGAAATTTTTTTTTCTTCTCTCTGTAGCACCCAAAACTTGTTATTGTCATCAAGAACCCAAAATCTGACCATGACCCAAAACCCGAAAGACACTATAATCTACAAACTTACGGTTACCTATTGTAACAAGTTTTGCAATATCACAAAAGGCTCCTTTAAAAATGCTAATTTATCCATAAACCGAACATTACTTCATCTTCTGAATTCCTTTCTTCTCCAGCTCCACTCCTCTTTTCCTCTGGTTTCTTTATCTTGTTGGTCTTCCTCCTCTTTTCCCCCCTTAACTATCCTAACATCTTTACCATTAATTTTCTGCTAAATTGTAACATATTTTGCTAAGCCATAGGAGCAGCCAGATGACTTGCTTTCTTGCACGCAACTAAAAAGCAAGTCATCCACTGGGATTTTAAGGCCTCTAATATCTTGCTGGATTCAGTAATTATCCACCTTAATTAATTAGCTACTAAGTTTTAACATCTTCTTCTTCTTCTTCTTCTTCAGCAACTCGGAACAATTAATTGCAGGCAGCTAGCTAGTTCGTTGCTGGTGTGGCTTAATTTATAGTCAAGAAATTAAAAAAAAAACATTTTCTTTTTTTTTTAAAATTTCTTTGTTGCAGTATATAATACGTAATTAGTTAGATAATGAATGAATGAATTAGTAAGGTTTTGGGTTTTGGACTGGCGAATGTATGCAGGACTTCTACGCAAAGCTGTCTGATTTTGGACCGGCCAAATTAGGCCCTGTGAACGGCTATTCCCATGTCACCACCGGGGGTGGTGGGTAAGGTTGCAAACGAATCGAATCGCTCGCAATTAGATCACGAGCGGCTCGAATATGAGGTCAATTCGAATTCAGTCAATATCGAGGTTGAGTTAATTAAATTGAACTCGAACTCGAACTCAAAAACATTAAACTCGTTGGCTTGCGAGTTCGATTATATATTTTTATTTTTTATTTTTCATTTTAATAATAAAATTACATATATATCCCTAATAATTTATTATTTATTAAGAAAAATTATTATTTTATTTATTTTTAAAAATAAATAATTATTTTTTAAATTTTTTTTAAGCTTGAGTTTGAGCTCGACTCGAATTTGAGTCGAACTCTAGTTCGAGTTTTATAAAATTAACTGGAGGCTCAGTTCGATTAGGTTGAAATTAGATTCGACTCGACTCGTTTGCACCCTTAGTGGTGGGTACTTACGGTTATGCACCTCCTGAGTACATGGCCACTAGCAAGTAGCAGTAGAGACTGGAGAGATTATAAATCTTTTTTTTTTTCATTTTTTTTGAGTGAGGAGATTGGGGGTTGGAAATCGTCCAATAAGATCTAAGTAGGAAATCACGTAGGATGAAGAAGGGTGGCACAAATTTCCTAACAAAATGATAATTTGGGGTTGAATCCGGGTTACGCACGGCTTCTCTGCGGTCTATGAGAGTGACCCATTTGACCTCCTCCTCTAACTCTAAATTTCCATTTACGCAGAGACATATTCAAAGGTTTCCTTTTCTACCTAGGCGTTCAAACAAGTTTTCTAAACTTTTTTTCGAGCGTATCTCCCTTGCCAACAAAATCAAAGGATAATTCACAAAAGAAAGGAATCGGATGGAAAATGGAACTGGAGGAGGAAGTAAGAGGACAACGATCAGAGTGCGAGGATAGATTGCAGAGAGAGTAGGTGGAGATTATTTAGGCGGGGATGGTGATGTGCCAAATAAAGTGGTAGTCAGTTACCCTCTATATGCAATGGATGGCCTAGATGTGCCCGACTGTAACATTGCAATTTTCCTTTCCAGACCCTTGTATATGTAATTAAATTATATATATATATATATATTACTAAATTTATAAAATATTCTAATATTCTATGGTCATTGGATTGAATATTGTAAAATTTTACGATTGTTTTCTTTTTTTCAAACTAATCCTAGTTGTCATTGTAATTAATACAAACTTTTTCAAAAAAAAGGAGAAAAAATAAAGGCAAATAAATAAAAGATTGGACATAGATACAGTTGAAGTTTCAAAAATAAATAAAAGTAGTCGATGATAGTTATTTTTTTGAGTTCATAATATTGCATTCAATTTCTTAAATATTAATTTTATTATTTGAAAATAAAAATTGGATGGTGTTTATATATATAATATTTTTAAAATTTTTATATTTTTATATATTTTTATTTTAGTGTGTTTAGAAAAATACAACAGATACTCATTGAATATCTGGATCCAGAAGGGTCTGAATTCTGTGTTTGGACTTACTTTTTCATACCAATAAGAGTCTAGATCTAGGTATGGTTCTAAGTAAATTTAATGGATTTGAATTTGGATCAGAGAAATTCAACCTAAACTCTATTCATTGACATGCCTAATTAAGAGATTCAAACCATGTTAACCACACACTTTTCTTACCATTTATTACCATTAATGCTTGAGAACATGCTTAGGTACATTGTAACTTTAAAAGTTGTAAATTCCTTCAAGTGGTAACTCTAGGGAAAAGTTTTTCCTTTTTTTTTTTGGGTTGTGCATGGTTTGAAGAATGAAAATTTCACTCCAACGGCTCAGATTATTTGAAAAGATAGCCCTTAGTTTCTTCTCCTCTATTTATGTAAAAGCACTGTGGTCAAAAATTCCTTCTTCAATTAATGCTGAAGTATAGGTGCTACTTGGTACCTCAACATAAATAGATGATACGGATTTGAGACTTAGAGCCCATTTAGACTACCACTTTAAGATTTTTCTCCTTGTTTTTGTTGGCAATCTCATCCATGAGAAGAAATGGTGAAGCATGCAATTTCAAGGTAATTGATGTTGATAATAATAATATATTTTGCAAACGCTTCTTCTAATCAAGCAAAGGTGACTTCAACTGATTTCTTGTTTAAAATGGGGTCACTAACATCTTAGTCCATTATTATTAATTCAAGAAAAAGGAAGATGATGAACGGATTTGCAGGACATCAACCTTTAAGCAGTGTAGCTTTCAAGGAAAAAATTGTCTGGTGATCAAGTGGCAAAGAAATTTAAGCTGTCCGGTAGTCAATGAAACCATAGCATGACAGCATTTGCTGAGGAAAGGATCAAGTAGAGCAGAATTTTGACCACTGTAGAATGCAGATCACATAGATGCTCAAACATTGTTAGTGAGGTGTCTCTGTCATATTTAATTTTGCTGGATATATCATCCTTGACAGATTTAAAGGGATTGATCAAATCCAATCTGTGTGGTGTAAGGTGATGAGGGTGTGGATTGTGGAGCAGTAACAATTAATCTGTCCTAGAACACAAACAAATTGGAAGGTGGCTCCTACAATTCATTTATCAGATGCTACAACCTGTGATCAATCGACCTGTGGAGTCGTCTATTATTCCTTAAAAGGATGCTTAACTGGAGATCCTTTAGCTAGTTGAATAGATCATGGAATGAATTATGATCAGCCATTTAGTAGCAATGCATGGCAACCAATGCGTGCTGTTCCTGTGACCAAGACTGTTTCTTCAGCACATAAAACTGAAAGGAAAAATGATGCACAGAACTATAAGAAATGACCAAAGACACTGTGTCTTTAGGGCTATGCTCAAACTCACTTGTATGAATATCTCAGCATGAAACACTTCTCTAAATGCTAAAGCTGAACATGGAAAGGCTAATAGCTTTGACATCCATTCAGGGCAAATCAAGGTGTAAAATGCCGGTATGGTAATTCAGGAGAAGGAATCCATCTAAAACATTGAGAGATACCGTGTATTTCCTTGTGAGTTAAGCGTGTATTCAACCAAAAGCAGTCATCGCGCATGATAAAATACACTACATGTTCTAGTGTTGACATATAACTGATACACATAGTTCACGGAATTAAATTACAAAACTGGACTCTATCATTAGAATTCCAAGGCTACAAAGCATTGGTAAAGTTACCTTCTGGGGTGGTTCATTAGCAAAATTTCGAACTCACATAGAAGGATAAACTCTAGCTAAAAAACATGGAGGTTAGAACCACATACAGTTACGATTGCCTTCCTATTAAGCTCGAGGTAGCTTTCTCTAGAATTCTTCTCCCTCTACTGCAGTTTCACCATGATCCATGTTGTCATGCTTAAACACAAAACCTGATGGGGGTCCGTCAACTGAAAGCGTGCCTTCCAGTACCTTAACTACTTCGCCTATGGAAGGTCTCAAATATGGCTGAATTTGCATACACCACATTGCTATTTTCACCACTCTTTCCACTGCTTTTAGATCATCAATGTCACCAAAATTTTGTTCTTGAGACAACTCATCAAGCACTTGCTGCAAATTCTTCCCATTCACAACCCTTTTGCAGGTAACAATCTGCAACAATAGTTGTCCAAGCATGTATATGTCCTTCTCTGATGCCGTTTCCGAAGAAGATGCTGCTTCCTTGAAGAGTAAAGTCCTTAATCCAAAATCTGTCAACTTAGGGACAAGATTTTCATCAAGACAGACGTTCTCTAGCTTCAGGTTCCCATGAGTTATGCATTGTTGACACTCCGTGTGGAGGTAAGCAATAGCACGTGCAATTCCAACAGCAATATGCAGTCTTTGTTCCCAAATCCTTCTGTTTACATCCTCCTCAGAGCTGAACAACCATTGATCCAGTGATCCATTGGTAACATACTCGTACAGAAGCAGTTTATGTTTTGGTTCAAAGCAGAAACCTTTTATGGCTACTAAGTTTCGATGGTGCGTCCCACCCAAGGCAGAAACAGCAACTCGAAATTCCTTCTCAGGAACAGCAACATCATTCAACATTTTAGCAACTATGACTGTTTTGTTCGGAAGGGTACCTTTGAAATGAGAAGGTCCAAGTGGAGTTGCAAAGTTGTCAGTCAGTTCCCTTATCTCTTCGAAATTAAGTCTGACGAGAGCACTGTAATGTGGGTTCATTTGAGCATCCTTTCCAAATGGAATACGTGTTTGAGCTTTAAGTTGTCCTCTCCGGCGCAAAAGCCAAAACGCAAACATCTCCATGCCAACAACAATTGAGACCGTTATAAAAACGATCAGTGCTATTGCCCCAATGAACACCCTGATGTTTCCTCTACCAGCTTTGTTTCTGCCAATTGACGAATAAACTAATCCTCCATCATCATGGGGGTTCACACCTTGAGCTGCAACTGCTTGTGGAACAGAACAAACCTTCAAAAATGAAGTGGAAGGAGCAGAAGGAGTGCTATAACCACTAATAAAGCTTGTTCTTTTGACAGTGCAGAGTCCTGAACCATCATTCATCGATGTAGCTGCAATGCAGGTTGAATCATTTGAGCAGTAGTTCTTGCAATCATTCTGGCTCAAAAACAGGTTAACATCATTTGGTGGATAAAGGCCATAAAGAACTGTTTGTTTCATATCAACCATGCTGGGATGCATTCTACAGTTCCCCAAATCCACCATTTTTTGGCACCCTGAACCACTTGAATCAACTACAGCAGAAGTGGTTCCACCTTCAGAGGATCCAGAATACAGGCAACCGCAAACAGGGCCAGAAGAATTATATTTACAGACACTATACAAACCGCAAGAACCAAACACGCTGCACTGATCCCCCACTGCTTGCCATCCTACTTTCCACTGGTTCACATTGTCCCAAGAGTAAATTCTCAAGTTGCCATCTTGGTCGATAGTAAGGTGTCTCAAAGTAACTGAAGGGTCTCCAAAATCCTTACTTGATACAGACCAGAAAACTTTGTCATTGTTATCAGACAGCCCCAAAACTCCATTAGGACCAAATCTTGCTTCCTTTACAATCACAGAGGAGCTTAACTGGCTCCTCCAGTAGGTCACATTATGCTCCCAAACTAGTGCTAGCTCACCAAATTTGCTAATTACCAAACTATAGTAACTTAATGTTGATTTTTTTGAAAGGGCTCTAAGATTTTGAGGATAACAGAGAGACTGACCAGGAAGTAAAGTATTTGTTGGACTACCAAAACTTTCCCACAACACCTTATCTTTACCATCCAAAAGAACCAAATTTCCATTGTTCAAAAGACTAGCTTTTGCAACACCCAAAGTGGAGGTATTACTACTCCATACAGGATTTCCATTAGGGAATTGAACTAAAACTAGTCTGCCATCCATGTCAAGCCTAATGCTGGAGTTTCTAGAAACTTTAATGCCCCCACCAACAGTCCAAACAGGCAAATTTACAGTTATATTTCCTAAGTTATACCTAATCCCAACTGCATAGCTATCAAGATCATCATCGCCATCCTTTTCCAAGAATCCAAATGCAAAAACCCTATTTTCAGACACCCAGTTCTTGCTTTGGTCCATCCCATTAATCTCAAAACCAAGAGGGACGGAAACCATGGTAAAATCATCACAAAGCACACTTAAAGCAGAACACAAGTACAGCACTACTACTACTACTGAAACAGTACTAAACCATCCATAAAAACAAATTAGATTGCTCTTACCTGAAAAATGTTTGATTTCCACAGCAGAAAGAAACATTTCAACTGCAAGGAAAAGCTGAAAATTCAGGGTATGGGAGATTCTTTCAACAGAGCAAAGTAACACTAGAAATAAACGGATGAGGTGTGTTTGAAGCAACTTCTGAGGTGGATATGAAGGATAAAAAGTGTCTTAAGTGCGTTGGCCTTTTCTCCATAAAAGAGAGAGCAACTGAAATGAATCTTTGTTGGAGCAAGAATTGTAACAAACAAAGAAACAAAGATTCAACTGTGACCAGTTAGCATCTTTTCAGGTAACAAGATTCTGATTGCCTTATTCTCAATATCCCACTGCCGAAAAGACAGCACTCGCCGCTTTTTGGAAGCACTAATCTAGTATCTTATGCTCAAAAGTAGAGAACTTTTGCTCTCACTTTTGTAACTCGAGGCGTCTGTCTTTTTCGGATTAGGCCGATTCAAACATTTTCTTGGATTACTAATTACTGACTGTTTTATTCTCTGCCTTTCTTTTCCCTTTTCCCTCCCTCTCATTTTGGTAATGTTTATGCCTTTCCTTTATCTTGGGGTCAAGATGTGCAATGATGGAATATTGCATGTCAACAGGAGTAAATGTTTGGACCCACGGTTTTAACTCGTCAAAACTTTCATAAATAGAATCAGCAAATGCTCCAGCCAAGCACAACCTGGCCCCAAAAAAAGAATGTAGGAAATTCAAGAACAGAAGGGAAATTGATAGTAATACATAGTTTCAGAGCTGGAAAATTGATTGGTAGCACTCCTACATTTCGGTATATCTCTTTAGAATTTAAGGCTGATGTCAAAATTAAGGAGCAAAAGATAAATACACTACTGCATGAACTGAGCTTATGCCCTTGGGTTTGACAAGCAAAACCAACCACTAGCAATCAAGGCACCGTTTCGAACGGGGGGAACGGGAGGGAAAAGGAAAGAGAGGAATTCGAGAGATTTGATTTTTGTTGTTTGGGTTAACTTTCTGAAGGGAAAAGAATGAATACAGAAGAAAAAGATGTAGTTGTTTTGTTGAATTATTGTTTCCGCTTAAAAATGGGCAAAAATGAAGGGGAATGAAACCAAATTAACTAAAAATATTTAAATTTTTTAAAATACTATTTTTTTTTACCTTTTTTTGTAAACTAATACTTTTTTTCTTTTTTTTTGGACATAATAGAATTTATTGTAGACATACTCCTACTCTATACTAGAAAGAGGGAGGGATCTAAAGAGATCCAAAAGGAACTCGGAGGGGACTAAACCACTATCAACCACTTGCTGGCGAACTTTTCAGAGAAGTTTGGATTTTTTAGAATGCAAATCAACACTCAAGTAGAGCTCTAATACTCTTTTAGTTTTTTTTTTTTTTTTTCCGAAACGTTAGAAATTTTATATCACAACCAAGCTATACACTGTTGGAGCAAGGGCTCCTATTTTAACAATAGTGCATTTAGCACTCTGGGGTGGAGTAATTCCACTCCATATCACAAAAGTTTAGAAGAGCAATTTTGCTCAAACTATAGCACAGACTATCAATGTCCTCATTTAACCTATCAAAAAAGCACATTCGAAACCATGAAGTCATTTTCTGAATGTCCTCAATTATAGTGGCTAACTCCAAACTTCTGGCTTTTCCAGCTCGTATTTGATCAAGTAGCTTTCTATCCTCAATTCGTATCTTGATGTCTTGCCATCCTTTTGTTGCTGCTTTGATCATACAAAGCCTCACAGCCTCTGCATTGTCCTGAGCCTTGTTCCCTGCTTGTCTTTCCTTTAGCGACCAGGCTGCAATTCCTTGGCTTGCACCATTCACAGCTGTGATGCCTATGCCAAAGGAGTTGTTTCCAATCTGGTGTTGAGTTGCCAGCTTTAACGTTACCACATCTGAGCAAGTTTGCTCTCTTCGATTGGTCTCTTCTTGCCTTCTTGTTTCTGCTGTACTTTTCCTTGGTCGTTGCTGCAATGCTTCCTGGTACTCTTTCCATTCCTTAGCAGCTTTTTCACTCACTTTAAGGGGATGTTGTTGTGCTGATTTGAAAATTCTGTCATTTCTCGATTTCCAAATTTGCCACAGCACATTGACAGTTAGTGCTATGTGATCATCCCCTTCTTTCCTGGTTCTTGCATGCAACATCATGGAGGTCCACCATTGTTTGAAACAGCCTGTTTAGTCTTCCAATCCGTCCCAGTTAACTAATGCAAATTTCCATATTCCTTTTGCTATCTTGCATTGCAGCAGTAAGTGTTCAATTGATTCCTCTTTTTCTCCACATCCGCAGCATATTGGTTCCCCTCTTCTTGTTCTATGGAAGATTTGAGCCTTTGTTGGTATTCCATTATTGATGCACTTCCACACAAATATTTTCAATTTATATTTGATAGGTAACTTCCAAAGATTCTTCCATAGTTTCCTATCTGTTTGATGATAGCTGCATCCTGTTCCTTTGTTCCTTTCTTCCCTTCGTTTCCTCTTCTCTTCCTGCAGATATTTGTAGCCAGATGCTACAGTGTATTGACCTGTGTTGCAGTGTTTCCATATCAAACAGTCTCCTCTTTCTGCTAAGCTTAATGGGATATTGAGGATGTTTTCTGCATCTTCCCTCTTAAACACTTTGAATATTAGCACTCTATTCCATCTATGCTGAGCAATGAGTTGTGATACCTTTTGTAAACTACATCCCTCTGGTTCCTGGGTTTGGATCCTACCTCCACTGTTGTTGTTGATCCAGCTGTCCTTCCAAATGTTGGTCCCTCTTCCGTTTCCTATCCTTTTTTTGCACCCAACTTTAATTACCTCTCTGGCACTCATCAAACTTTGCCAAATCCAGGATGCGTTTTTGGGGGTCTTGCACTCAAGCAGTGGGCCATCTTTGAAGTACCTACTTTTCAAAAACTTACTTACTTTTCTAATACTCTTTTAGTGGCCAACTATTCTAGGAGCAGTTAGTTTTTGTAAACTAATATTTGATTAGGAACAAGCATTGGTTTCTCTTGAACTTTTTCAGAGTTTAGGAACAAGTGCAGAGGAATTTGTTCATTTCTTGAGGTAATACAAATGTTTGTGTATAGCAAGTGCAATATCAGACAAAATGTGGGAAGAGGGTGTATTAATTTCACATTTCAAATTTCAAAATTTTGGAATAGTTAAAATGATAAGATATTGAGTGATGATATTGTCTACGTCTATATGGAGGACACGCCTTGTTTAATGCAGCTACATGATTGATAATAATTCACCAGTTGACATAACAACCGTGAGGTAGGTTATTGCACAAAAGCAATACAAAACCCGTCTATTAAGCATAACATTTGATAGCAAGCTTTCCAAGTTTCACAATAATGCAACACTTAATAATGCTGCAACACCTTATGTTGAAGAAGTAATCCTAGTCTACTATGTTGAAGAAGTAAGGATAGCGGGGTACAAATAATTGTCAATGCAATCATGTATAAATGGTGTAATACTTTTCAAGTAGGTTGTAATTCGTCACAAATTAGTTGTACAGTTTTATAATAGTCATGTTATAACCAACTGCCGTTTATATAGGATTGTACACGTCAATTACGTCAAAATTACGTGATCTGAGTCATACATCTTCAAAATCTACACTGATGACTAAATTCGGACGGTAGATTGTTTGGGACGATTGCCCTTGTCTCTTTCTAACAACCGTGCCTATCCCTTGTCAATGTTTTTAAATTCGGATTGGAGAGTGAACAGGAAAACCTTCCGATTCACGATTCGATTGGTTCGACCACGGTTCAGAGATTTAATAATTTTTTAATTCATTTTAGTATTAAGAATTATAAATAAAACTAAAATATTTATTTTAGAAAATAAAAACTTGTTGAACCTTCTGATTTTTACCAGTTCAATTAATTTTTTGATTTTTTAATTGAATCGGACCGAAAATATGGCCGGTTCACGGTTCAACCGATCGGTCCGATCCAATTTTAAAAAACATTGCCCTTGTTGCAAATAACTGGCTACCCAAGTCCCTACTCCCTAGGCAAAAGAAAAAATAAATAATACAAAAAAGAAAAAGTTACCGGATTAGTAGTTAGGCTGAGCAAACCAGGAAAGGAAAGCTTGTATACCTTGGAAGGTGGAAACAAAGCCAAGGAAGTTGTTGAAAAATGAAACCACAAAAAGAAAAAAAAAAATAAAAAAGCTGAAAGAAAGAAACAGGCAGAATGAAATGGCAAAGGGGGGGGGGGGGGAGAGGAGGAGGCTTCACTTTTGAGATTTGTGCAGAAAATGTAGATCTTCTGGGGACTCGTTTGCATGCAAACAGACAAAGGTCCACGCTTGCGTGTCGAGAGTCGAGACCACTCCGCTCCGTTCCCAGCATCTAAAGCTGAGGTCCCAACTCCCAATATTATAACACGGCCACGGCTTCCCTTAGCTGTATTCTGTAGCATTTTGTACAAGAGGAGCCACCAAACCAATTACTACTCTCATCTTTCACATTCCAAAATCCACATTTTTAATGTCTGTGTGCCTTGTTCTGTTCCCTTTCGAACTCCTGTTGTTTCTTCTCTCTCTCTCTCTCTCTTTATTTTCTTCGTCCTACTCTATGTTTTCAGACTCGGACCGGATATTGACTCGGCTGAGCTCAGGGGTCAGGGGTCAATGGGTTCGACCGGGTTCAACCGGGGTCAAATTAAATGACATCATAAATATGTCATAAATATTTATTAATAATATTTAATCAAAATAAGATATAAAATTTATCTTTAAATTGGTGGTTTACAACTTCATAAGTTTAGATTTGTCATAACTTCAATGTTATTAATAAAAATTATTTTGAAATTAAAATATTATGTAAAATATCTAAAAGCATGCTAATATCAATAAAGGTGTATACATATGTGTTTGATGTT